GCTTGAAGAAACTTTTGAAGCACCTTTATTTTTAAGAGCGTAGCGCTAGCGTAGGTCACCGATCGGCAGACAGAATCACAGGGGCGAGACGAGAGGGAGAAATCCAGGAAAACAGGCAAAGATCAGAACCCGCAAGGCAAAACAAGGAAAACACGGCGACTCGGAAAGGGGTACAGGCTAAACAATACTCAGCAGAGAAAGGTGGTTAGAGTGGGTGTTATATAGTGAGTGAGGTGATTAGAAACAGCTGTGTGCAATGAGTGCAATCAGTGCAGTGTGCAAATCGTGCAAAGAATGATGGGACATGTAGGTGCTATGCAACAGTTTGTGTTGTGCGAGAGTCAATGTAATGGAAAGGGTGACCTCTGGTGGTGAATAAACGGAAGTCCATGGACCGAATTCGTGACAGATAGATCACACAAAAGTTTAATCAAAAGCTAGTGTTTGGGAACAACTAGAAACTATTTGGAAGTTAATAACAACAGAGAGTGTGCAAAAGTACAACCAATGCCAGCAAGAATGCAAGCTGTTATCACAGCCAAAAGAGGGAAGGCCTTGAGGAGGACATTTTTTGTTAAAAAAAGTTTTTGACAGATTCTTAAAATATTAGTTTTCTCTCTTTATTATGACAGGTGGTCTTTTAAATGTATATATTTAAAAGTGCTCTTTTTTTCTTCTTGGACAACCAATCACAGTCTTCAAAAGAATGTGTCATACCTAGCAACGTTGTCAGCCCCGCCTCCTCACTAAGATGAAGTTTTTGTCTTTGCCTCGATCACAGTTGCTCTCAGACTGGTCCTGAATCACTCTTAAGCTAAAATTCCTAGATAGAAATTATTAAGCTAAATTAGGAGCTCTCTGAGAGGATTCGGGCATTCGTGTGCTTCTGTGAAGGTTTGATGGCACTCGCTGGAAGCCTAGCAATACTGCTGTGTGTTTGTGTGTGTGGTCTTATACGAGTTCTAGTCGTGACAACAGACCAAAACCGCAGGTTTACAAAAATAACCAACTGCTCTTTTTAACTTTTAATAATTCAACATTTTACATTTTCATGAACAAATTATTCAGAAAACAAAGAAAGAATCTTGTTAAGATGATTTTATGTTCGAAATATCCCGAATAACTGATGAGGAGATCTGCAGAGATCTACTGCTGTTTACATTGACCTTCAGAAAGATCTTCTACACTGTTAGGACAGTGAATGTTGGCCATGGGAAAGGCTTCCGTGTCAAACAGCACCGTTCCGTCTTGACCCTCAGAGTTTTCCTTACATTGGACGGAAATCTGAAATATTCATACAGGCATTTGTAGAGATTGTGCATTATTCATATTCCTAAAATAATTCTGTCTGTATAATGATATACCTGAGCTTGACTAGATGACAGCTTATCAGCCACAGCCTCTTGCGTCAAGAGAGTGTGTTCCTCCACAGGGTGTTCTTGAGCAAATTTGCAGCAAGTTTGACCCTTATTTAATGAGAAACGTTATTTTATTATTATCTTAACAGAACTTTAGAAATTAGAGTATATATAATATGTAATGTTGTAGCACAAATTTTCTTTTAAAACACTTCGAGGTCATCACGCAATGATAGTTTTACCTTACCATTGTGTTGACAATCTGTTCCAAGCTGTTTAATAACAGATATAAGAACAATTAATTATTAAATATTATGATGAACACTGTTGTTGGAAAATGGCTTTGTTTTTTGGTCGCCTGTTTTTCGTTGATCGTAGCCGCCGACCAACCGGAAACAAATATTAACCTTCCGGGTTGAATGGCACATGTGACCTATACGATTTGGATGGATAATCCAGTCCATACGTCAAATTCACAAAAGAGTTAAGACCACCGTATACTTGCCAAAATAATATTTTTCATCAGCTACTACTGTACAGCCAATCATGTAAAAGCAACAGCAGCAAAACTTGTCAAGCCAACGTTACTTATAGAGCAGCATTGCATACAAAATGGTAATTCAAAGTGCTTTACAGAAAAGAAATTAAAATAATCATAAATTGTGCACAAGAAAAAAAAACCTAAACATAACGACTCCTTCAGAGTCAGACCGTATTACACACAGCACATGTTTATTTCACTCTACATGTATGATAAAATGGCATATACTGTAAATTATAACATATCATACCAGCTAAGAGCAACAAGTAAAACATCCTTATGATTACTGTACTGTACAATTATTGCTGCAGTGTAATATGGCAGGTTATTTAATCAAATGTATGGATTTGGTTATTTTGGTAATTTCTTTGAGGACAAATATTAATGCCATAGCATTACATTGACATTCTAGAGAATTGTACAGAAGTAGGTCAAGTCATCTCTTTTTATATAGTGCTTTATACAATACAGAATGTGTCAAAGCAGCTTTACAGTGTTAATCAGAAAAATAGTGTCAATAATGCAAACAAAATTCAATTGTGCTGTAAAGCAGCTCTAAAAAGAAGACATAGTTCATCGTTCACTCAGTGGTAATTTATTCATTTTTTAGCAGTAAACTCACATTAATACACTGTAAAAACAATTCCGTAAAATTTACAGAAAAAAACGGCAACTCTGGTTGCCGGAATTTTACCGTAAAAAATACAGTAGCAACGTTTTAGGTTTTAACTTAAATTTACAGTTAAATACCGTAATTTCATTAACTGATATAATGTTGCATCACATTCTCAGGCTGGCTCCCTGTTACAAAAGGGCCAAATTTGCATCACAATTGTAAAACTTCCTTGCCTTTGTTTGGAGCATGATTACACTGACACATAGCCACAGCTAAATGCAGACACACATACTACCATTTGATCTTCACACACAGAGTCAAATCTACATCTGTCTGATACTGCCTATATACTTTTAAGTCTGGTCATCTTGACTGTATTATAATTGTGAATTTCATCCAATTATTGTTTGTTTTGTTTTCTTTGGGTTTATCTAATTACTTAGCTATCATCTCACCAAGTTTCAAATGTAAATTAGTATTTCTCACTTTTACCTAAGTACAAACATTTTCATTGATATATCATGTAACTAATTTGATTTGTTTATTTGTATGTTGTCCATTTCAGTTGAAACAAAGATTGTTTTTGGACAATTGAATCTCTGTATTTGGTTACACTGAATATTTTGCTTATACTCTTATTGATGAAGGGGGGTGTTAAAACCAGCAATTGTTGATTTTATTATAATGCAATTTATTTGAATGTTTCCAAAAACAGTGTAAGAGCTTTTCAGATCATCTTTTGTTCTCACCTTGACATCTTTTTAAGTACATCGATTTAAGGGCTTTTTGCCAGAGACAAATTCAATCTGACCACATCAAACCTCTGACCAATGACAAATGCCATGTATACTTTTGCTGTTTGTTGTGCCATATGCTCTTGTGAAATCACAGGATTCCTGCTGCACAAGTTCACATCCTGTGTCCTGCCTCAGAAAGAGGGACGAGCGGATTCTACCATGTTCAGTGCCTGTTCTTGTGGAGGTGTGAAGTATTCAATGGGCGTTTTGCATATCTATGAAGGGTGCAACACCATTCGATGAAGATCTCTCACACAGGGCTGAAAGGCGAACAAAGACTGACCAGCTGCAACTGCAACAAGTCTGGACCAGAAGACACAGAAGTGCTGATATCGATCAAGGCCTGTAGGCCAACATGCGTATACATCGGGGGTCTGCTAATTGTCACACCTTTTGCCCAGTGGGCGAAGTTGTAATCTGCTGATTGGTCAGTTTGAATGTCTCACATTTGGTTTTTAGTCACATGGTCAAGGAAGGGATAAAAGACGACTGTAACTGTTGCTCTGTCTCTTTTCTTTGTTGCCTCTTTTCTTTGTTGGAGCTCTTCTTGGGTCTCTGCCCTCTCTCCCTCTTTTTCTTCCTCTGTCTATTCCCCCGTCTCTCTATCTCTTTCTCTCAGGTAATATTTTACATGTTGGGTACAATTAACTATGCTTTATCATCCTTCATCTATTTTGTAACCAATTCAAGTGTAACTATAACAAAATATTGTTATTAAACCATTTCTTAATTAATTAATTATGTGCTAACTAGTCTTGATTCAAGGTTAATATTAAAGTGCTACCTATTGCAATACAATAGTCACTCAATAGCAACGCTCTCCCACATATTTAGCTATTCTAACTGCGCTTATTTCCGTCGTTGGTATAAGTGGCAGTGGGTGGTAATAGACTAGAAATGTACAGTTTTATACCATTGTGCTGATAACGTTTCTTTAGTCATTCGGCAATCCTACAGCCTGAACCACCGTAGGAAAACCATCCTTACACAGCTTTTAGATAAGAACATATATAGAAGGTGCACAGTGTCATTCACACAAACACCAAACACCATCATGGTAACACACATGAAACTGAAATAATGCAATAAACATTCATTTAACAACATAGCATCAGACAAAGCTAGCATTATAACAACTTCAACTTTTAGGAACTGAGGGAAACCCATACCCTAATCATTTCTACAATTCCGTTTCCGCCAGTATGGTTCAGTTCTGCTGCCTAGCATGGATAAGAACAGAGAGCGCAGCAATAAACAGGGTAAACAGAACAGAACCAACATAAATGTATTGCAGATATCATTATTGTTCAATAATTTAATGTACACAATTTAGAATTAGTCTGATTCAATGGAGAATCCTGACTGGACGAGAGGAGGAGCTGGGGATGGAGGAGAGTAATTAGCTATTGAGCAACAAGAAAGCTGCTGATAATACTGAAGAACCTTATATGCTGAGGTAGGCGTCATATTCCTATAGCTGAGAGTCAACTGATGCGAGCATGACTGATGTGACCTGCCAGAACTAATGCTACGCTTGATAATTGAGTCCCCAGAAATAATCTCGTCATCATCTCATTCCATGTTAACTAAACCTTTCTTAATGTGAAAAGACCTTCAAGCTATAACCACCTGACCTTCTATATGATGCAGTTCACATCAAATGCACATAGTATAATTCCTGACCTTTATCTTCCTCTGTGTCGATTACAATGCCTTCATCATCATCTGGCTCAGCCTGAGGTTGGAGATAGATTGGGGTATGACACATCATCATACACAGTTTGCCCATGAAGGCCTCTCTGGTTCTCCATGCATTGCACTGAAAGCTGAAAATGCGTAATCATTAGTAATGAATCTTAATTCATTCAGAGCAACCGTGATCCAAGCCCTCTTCTCATTACCTTTACAGTAGGCCTAATTAATATATTATCGTCCTTATATGCGCCTTCAGAAATAGCTTCTTGGTCGTTCACATACTGGACAGAAACCTTAAAATTTCGAACAATTGAAGCGTTTAAAATCACGTCTACAGAATTTCACAAAATTTCAGCAAATACAAATTAATTTTCATTTAACATTTGAGCTAGCTATCAGTAGTCTGAAACCTAAAACTAGGAATAAAAAAGCTAATGTGACCCTGGACCACAAAACCATTCATAAGGGTACATTTTTCGAAATTGATATTTATATGAATAAATGAGCTTTCCACTGATGTATGATTTGTTAGGATAGGACAATATTTGGCCGAGAATCAACTATTTGTAAATCTGGAATCTGAGGGTGCAAAAAAATCTAAATATTGAGAAAATTGTCTTTAAAGTTGTCCAAATGAAGTTTTTAGCAATGCATATTACTAATCAAAAAGTAAGTTTTAATATATTTACGGTAGGAAATTACAAAATATCTTCATGGAACATGTAGATTTTTGGCATAAAAGAAAAAAATATTTTGACCCATACAATGTATTTGTAGCTATTACTACAAATATACCCCAGCGACTTAAGACTAGTTATGTCGTCCAGGGTCACAAATAATAACATGGTAAACTAATAATATAACAGAGTAAAGGTATTATTTACTTACTCTAAATGTGTTTGTATTATCAAAACCAGCTTCAGGGCGAATTTCTCCAGTGTTTTCTGCTTCTGTGACACACAATGATTTAAAGATGTTTCTTTAACTTAAATAAGAAACTACATTGATTAAAACACATTATAAAACACATTAGATGCCTTTACAAGTTCATGCATGCTATGCTTTTAAATGTAAACCCTCTGTGAACACTCACTGTACATATGCTAATTGTTGTAATGAGTTATAGACTTAACTTACAGTAAAAAGTTATAGAGTTAAGCTAATCATTTTTATCACAACTAACAAATTAGATGATGACAGTAACATTTTCCTTAATTCACATACCATGGCTTCGGTGACGGAGACGTCGAAGAGCAACTAAAACTGCCGTCGATCAGTTAATTAATGGTGTGTTTGGATCTCAAAAGTGAATGTATCTGACTCTTATCCTTGGAAATTTACATCTATTCAACGTTTATCAATCTATACCTGTTTGTAATCGTTCGAAATTGTAAAAGCTTCTCTTGGCCCGCGTCACTGCATGAGTGAAATGGTGCCAATTTTATATGCGACCTCTTTTTGCGTGTTTACGTCATGTCTTCTACGTCATCTGCTGCTTGCTTGTTCAGGTGATATATTATGATATATGTCTTGGCTTTCTTGGTATAGCCAGTTAATTCCATTTGATATATTTTTGTCAGAAAAATGTCCAAACATGTTGCCTTTAACTGGTCACTGGGGCAGCATACACTTATATACAACTTTGCAACTTATCAACCCCTAAAGGCAGGCTTTTGAGGGCACTGCCATATTGAAAAGCTGAAATTAAAATTTTTTAAGGAGATTCATCCCCACAGAAAAGCAGTGTTGAAGCACAGTTTATATGAAATCCTCTGCAAGTTATTTGTATTGTGAAATTTAACATGCAATTTTACGTTTCAACTACAGATGTCAATAGAGAGCCTAAAGCATTCATGTTTGTCTTGTATGTTTTAGTAACATGGATCATTTGTATCTACACTGCTGTCAATGAATGTCCAGAATGTCCAGACGAACCAGTGTGTTACCTTTCATGTCCTTGTAGAGTTTGGTTAATCTTGTAGACCTCGTCTTCATGTGCAAAGCACATTCTCAACCTGAACTTAATATGCAGAAATCCAATATAAATATATTTTATGGTAGAAAAACTTGTGAATTTGATTCCTCAGTCACTGCCTGGAAATGATTAACAGGCTTCAGATATATCTCAATTATCTGGAAGTGCGCAGGACTCCTCCCAAATGTTCAGTAATTCATTGGTATGAACTTTATACATGCTTCAACAAGCCAACCATTTATTTTAGAAAGTTATAACAAGAAATTGGACAGCATCAGTTCTTTCATTAAGTCAGATTTTTTTTGTTGTCAAACTCCCTCTTTTCACAATTTGCAAACTTCCTAAGCATCAAACAAACAAAAAAGTTCAATTTCCCTTTTATTAGTAATCTATTACGGGAATGGTGTATTTGGGAAATGACATTTTTTAATAGTTAACCCGGATGAAACTGCCTTCCCGCTGGGTTGAATGAAAATCTCAAAAATACAGTAGTCTCTGATTCACAATAATGTGGCAAACCTGCAGAAGACCAACATGCTAACTAAACATAGCAATATAAATGTATGCAATTATAGTGAACAGGTCTAACCCTTGTGAAGAAGAACTGTGCTTAATTGTTGTGAATGTGCTCTTGTAGTTTACTTCAAATGTTGTATATAAAATTATTGCACATAACATGATATTACTGAAATAAAAAGCCACTTAAGTGTACTGAAAAAGTACACATTCATAACTATTTATTAACCAACTTAAGTAATATAATATTAAAAGTTTTACTTTAAAACATACATTTTTAATTATGCTTCAAAACATATTTTGCACTTATTTTCCTACTTAGATGGGGGGGGGGGGGGGGGGACGGACCTAAAGTTAAACTAACTGCATTTAATATAAATTTAAACTACAATTTATTTCCATTTAATTGGAATTAACGTGATTATGTGTTTTTTTTTCTCCATTCTGTCACCGATGGAGTTTCGGTTCCTTGCCGCTGTCGTCTCTGGCTTGCTTAGTGGGGGACACTTCATTTCCAGCGATATCGTTGTCTTGATTGCAAATGATTGCAAAGATACTATTTAAACTGAACTGAGCTGGATGATGACAACACTGAATTCAATGATGAACTGCCTTTAACTGAAAAATGAGTGTTTACTATTGTCATTTTGCATTATTGACACACTATTTTCCTAATTAATGCTGTTCAGTTGCTTTGACACAATCTGTATTGTTAAAAGCGCTATAAATAAAGGTGACTTGACTTGTTTGAAAAAAAGGTATATTATTTCTGTAATAACTACTCTTTAAAAAAATAAAAAATAAATAAAAGTAGGCCTATGCTAAAGTGTACTTCTTTTATGATAGGGAGGATTGCTAATCTTTAAATGTAAAGTTTGAAGGCCTATTTATTGTCATCCTTGCAGCTAGTTATGGGTTTTCTATGGGTCACTATTTTAAAAAACGAGTGAACTAGCCTGTCTGTATTAGCTTATCTAGAAAGTGAGTATTTCTCTGCTTCTTGTAGTCCTGTATTTTGTAGTGCACTCACTATATTTTTGTGAATTGGACACTATTGTGATTTGAAGGTCTAGTTTTGTGTTGGATGTTTAATTTTTACAGATTTCCTGCTCCTTTATTCAGGAGGGGACATATTCATATTGACATAGCGTCAATTCTAAGTTGCCACATAGACCTCTTGAAAGACACGAAGACGAAATGATGGTAAAATGCCTTTATTCTAAGTATAAAGGGTGTGATGTTAAGGTCTTGGGAGGCATTTCTCTTTCTTGTCTTCACTTGCCATTACAACAGAACTGGTCTGATAGATTTTTTCACCTCTAGAGAGAAGAACTGCCACCTGCAGAAAACCAAACCAGACTTTTAATAAACTAAGACACTTGACATTCAGTTTTGGAGTGGAAGTAGTAAAGACTGTAAACCTACCAAGTGTTGTTTGTTCATGGTGAACGTCCTCTGGTCATATATTATGACTCCACCCAATCCTTTAGGGTTTTCCACACACTGGACAGGGGCCTAAATATACCATTGCATTTGTTAATGTCATGAATTACTTTTAGGAATTTACAAAAAATATATATCAATGTCATTATTGATTCTATTGGTAATCAGTAATTAATCTATTGCATATTTTGATCAGCTAATCTGATGTATATGATATAAAGTATGATATAAAGAGTGTAGTTTCTTTTACAAAATCCACTTTAATGCTACTTTTGAAAAATAAATTAGGGTTAACACAATGCTAGAACTGTCACATATAAGCATTATTGTAAGCTGTTTACGGTAAGCATTATTAAAAAATTATGAGTCAGCCATTTTTCTGACTTCATACGGAAATACAAACCATTTCACAAACACAAATACCTTAATTTGACCCACTGAGGGTTGATGAGGGAGACAGTGTAATGTACCCTGAAAACAAATGCAAATAAAACAGTAGTTAGCAGGACCTCAATCAAGAGTGTGACTTATAAGGAAGTTTGACCATCGTAATGAAGATTTAAACTCCTCAAAATAAGTCATATATGTTTAAACTGCATGTTTTATCATGACCCTGCACTGAAGGCACTGAAAACCTAATTCAAGTTAACTAAAAATGAATTATTCAGTTTATCATGACGATAACTCATGGATCGGGCCTTGTAGGTTTCCAACCTTTGGTTTCCAAACCAGAACTTTAACCACTACACCACAAGTTGTACATAAAGCATATTTAAAACTATATGTGCTACAATGTAATATTCACAACTGTAATATTCAAAAGGTCTCATTATAGGCCTCAATTTGAGTGGTTTAGCACTTTGACGAACTTGACGGATGAACAATTGCCCAAAACAAGAAGCCAACAAAAATTGCAACTAAATAATAAATAATAGTAAATAACAATAGCAGTAAATGTAAGATTTTAGCAATTTATAGACTCTATAGACTAAACACAGAAGTAACATGCAGCGGTTTACAAAGGCCACAAGGCTAATAGGCTAACAGCCTGTTTTTTGTAGCAACCTAAACGTAGCACTGCTGACGTTTTACATAGTTTCAATAGTTACGCAATATTATTATTATATCTTCTTTAAAAGTGGTGATAGAATAATAAAGGTTTTGATGGAAATATTTATCATGAGCAACATTTATACGTAGCCTACCATAACAACTTCTTTTCCACAACTGACAAAAAAAACGGTGCGCCGTCTAACGGCGGTCCTCCAAAGACTAGTGGAGGAGTAAAAAATATATACGAATAAAAAATAGACAGCTAACAAATCAAATTATAACAAATAATTACACCACTTTATAAATTAACCATATATTGTTTAACTATATATTAAATGTATATATGATAATTATGTTTGGGTAGAATCAGTAGGAGTCACAAACTTTTCTTTTAACAACTAATATTGTCTAATATTGTAACAGCACATTTATTACATGCCTATTACAGACTTTATAAACAAATTAATAAATAAATAGCCATAAAAGCAGATCAAGCAATTTGTTTCATTAAAACAATCTTATCTGTCACTTCCCAGTCTGTCATCTCGAGTCACAACCACATTTTGCTGCTGTCTTCATGTCCTAAACTTAGAGAGAGTAGAGGTTTACATCCTTTAGTTGCTCTTCAAGGGTCTTCTGAAGGTTCTTCCATGAGCTTTGGTCTCATAATCAACATGACAAATGTGAACATAGTTCAAATAAAACCTTGATTGATTGTTCTAACAAATGATGTGTGATGTGGTGGTCTAGCTACAAATGAAACCATTATATATGCATACACAGGATGCAGTTCTAATAATCAAAAACCAAAACCCCAAAGCACAACCCACTGAGAATGAGCACGCGAATAACATGTGAACAGTTACTTCTGATTAGTTCCCATAAAATAACATTAAATGTGCTTTTGATCCTTATAACAACAAATGCATTATTAACTATAGTGTTAATAACTATGATGTTATAATTATTTAA